CAGCTTTATTTTGTCACCAAACGATTCCTCGCGAAATTCTACACCTAGTACACTATGAACCAATCAAAAGTGGCGATGGCCCAAAAATGGTTTTTATGCGCCCCAATTCTTTGGGACTTCAACTCCAAGAAACTCCGAGAATTTGTTTCTATAATTTAGCGATGAGTTTTCAGAAATCCCAGAAGCAATGACTAAAAAGTTTTGATGAAAATCCGAAAAATCACCCGACTCCGACTGCGATCCCGTAAAATTCTGGTTTTATAACTCCGACCCCAACGCCGCCGGAGTCGGATTTCGGAGTTCCATGCAGTTCACTAACACCCACTCCAGAACGACGCATGACACCCACCAACATTCTATTTAGTTTCAGTATTTTGTGTGTTTAAATTGTCGGTGCTGAACGTTCCCGTGCTCATCGTTCCTCGTGCTGAACTTTCCTCGTGCTTACCGTTCTCGTGCTCATCATTCCCGTGCTTAACGTTCCGTGCTTAACGTTCCGTGCTCATTGTTCCTCGTGCTCATCGTTCCGGTTCCTGATATAGCGTACATATTCATATAGGAAGAAAGAGAAAACAAGATTGTTTTTTTTTTTACTTCAAATAGTAGGTAACATGATCCTCCAATACTGCTATAAATATGAAGTTTTTTGCTTCAGTCTTTTTGACTTTATGGTCGAAATATGTCTCTCAAAAATCTCGAAAAATTATTATTCCATTAGGCACGTTCAGTATAGATCTTTTGTTGCTTTCACAGCAAGAGCAAACATCACCTTTCTCTATCATAAAGAGCCCTTTGCCTTAGCTACAAAATTCACTTATTATAGTTCGGAAAAGATGTTTCATGAATGTAAACACTACCATCGAAGCATGAATTTTCATTAAAAATCAGTAGTATTTCGAGTATTCGCCTTGAAGTTCTATTTAAAATGAAAAACCTAATGTCAGATTGGTGCTCAGCATTAAAAACTAAGTCGATCTATGTATGTTTCAAAATCATCTGACATCTTTTATTTTTCCTGAAAAACTCAGCTGGAGCTTCCTCATGGACTAGGTCAAAAAAGCTTGTTAGCGCAGCTCCTGCGGAGCTGAAATGTGGAACTCACATATACCTTTAGCTTTGTTACCTGACGCATCATCTGTATACTGAAAGACTTCTCGTCAACTATAGTTGTTTTCCTTGAGAATCGATGAAAAGAGTGGGAATTTATTATTTATTTGTATATTAAAAATATATATTAAAAAAGAAAATATTGGTTTTTCATTTAAGCGCACTCGATTTCATTTATAATTATTGCTATATACTAGATAATAATCTTTTTTTTTTCTAATTTGAAGCTATTTTTCTTCACCATCGAGTATTTGATGAATACGGT